GCTCCTATAGTTTTATGCATAGAATGTGTTTCCCTCTTTCAGACTAGGAGCTCTAGTGGCACCGTGGTTAAAGCGTTAAGCTTCTAACTGAAAGGCTAATTGTTTGAGCTCACTGACCACACTCCACAGATCACGTGGCAGTCAGGCTCCGTAAGGCTTTAGAGCCTAGAAACCCTTTGGGGCAGCTCTACCCTGTCCTACTGTGAGTCAGAATCCCCTTGGGTGGCAGTAGATTTGGGTTTGCTGACCCTCCATGCCTCTCCCTGCCCTGGGGCTTCACCCGGATCAACCCTTATGTACTGAAATTTTTCCAGATTGACCTACTGATCTCAGTCCTTCAAAATGGATGAAAGGACCCCAGTGAATCCGACAGCCCTTACTTGAGCACCTACAACGTGCTAAGGATCTCTGTGCCTAGTGACATCCATAGAGGAGGCCCTGGCATCATGGGGTCACACACAAGGGAACACTGCATCTACCTTGAAGTGTGGGAGCGATATCCAGGCAGGCTTCTGGGAGGAGGTGGCCTCTAAGGTGAGATAAAGTAGTACTAACTAGACAAGGAATTGAGAGAATTGGAGGAGGTTTGGGTCCAAGGGTGAGTGGGAGCTTGGCATTCTGAACAAGTAGTTCATTGGCACTGTTGTTTATCTCAAGAGTATTGAGGGGTGGTGGAAGGAGGCCTCATTCAAGGTCTTATATGAGGGAGTTACTGATTCCCTAGTGCATATATTGAAGGAACAGAGAAATGTGTAGAGGAGAAAAAACATTGGAGGAGGGCTGACAGAGGGAGACAATGGTAAGAGATGCATTTCAGAAAGTGCAGAATCTGTGGTTTTGATGCTGCCGACATGTGAGAAAAGGCACTGGAGGGTGAGGGTGTGCTCTCAGAAAGTCGCTTCTGGTTCCTCACACGACAGGGTCCTGGACTACCCTTCATACCCACCTTCCAGGGAGAAGAAGGACATCTCCTGTAGGGACCGTTCTTTTGATTAATAAGCAGAGAAGGCTCTGGGCATTTGAACAGAGATCTGAACGAGAGGATGGTATGAGTCATGCGGATTGTGTGGGGAAGAACATTTCAGACAGAAGGAACTGAACAGACAAAGGACCTGAGGAGGGTGGACTGGAGGCCATTGTGGTGGTGCAGGAGTTGGGGTCAGAGGCCAGAGGGGAATGATCAGGCAGAATGTCTCTGACCAACACGGATTTTCTGCCAGGGATTTTGGCAAGTAATGGGAAGAGGGAGCATTTAGGGATCTCTGTGGCCTAGTGGATAAAGAGTTGCTCTAACAATTCACAGACAGGTAGTTCAAAGTCACTAGCTGCCCCAAGGGATAAAAATGGACTATATTTCCCCATGTGATATACAGTCTTTAAAAATCTTCTAGAGAATCAGCTATAAATTGGTTCCGATTTCACAGCACATAACAATAACATGGAAAGTTTTGAACAGGGAGTGACTGTATTCATCTTTCTCCCTCTGTCTCCAAGGCATCATGGAGAGTGGACAGAGAGTGTCCCGGAAGGGGCGGAAGCTGGGCTCCAGCCGCCGGCGACAGATGCGAGAGCCAGCGGATGGCCAGGATGCCCCTGTGGCCCCAGAGTCAGAAGCCTGGTCCTTTCAAGTGGCTGCAGAACTACAGGACTTCTTCCGGGACTGCGGGGCCAAGGAGAGGGGCTTTGTTACCCGTGAGGACGTGGCGGTAAGTCCAGGGCCCCAGCTCGCTCCTTTATCCCTTTATTCAATCTTCTCAAACTCTATGCCAGGAAGGCAGTATTTCTCTTATCTGAAGTCTGCTCTCGAAAAGGCCAACACTTTATTTGTACTAACATGTAAATGACTGAGAGGGCTTTCAGTGTTACTCATTTCCACAAACGTGCTTTATTAGAAAGGAGATTAAATATAACTTGCTCATAGTAAAATTTTAGGCTCATTGAGCTAAGAATAGTAACATTTTAGGTCCTTTAAGCAAAGAATTTGTTTGGGGGAGCAGTCAGAACCCTGGAAATAAAACTATGGCGATGATTCTCTGGTTCACTGAAACACCAAGCACAATTTCCCCCTCATCCTTCATTCCCTGCTTGGGTCCCATGGGCCTGCTGTCTCCTCCTGATGCAGATCCACGCTCCAGTTTGTCCTTTCCACCATCTGAACGAACCCTTCTCATAGTGCATTTCTTGGAGCCCCATCTCTCGTATCCACAGCAAGTTGTTAATGGCTGATATTAAAAGATAATTTTAGAAAAAGGAAATTAGGACCTTTCTAGTAAATATGATGTGAATACTTATCAAAGGTATTGAATAGTGAATTAATGAAATGATGGGACCAGTAAGATGCTACATCCAGTTCAAAGGGCTTTTGAGAAGCTATGATATTTACAGGCAATTTGACAAAGAAGAGTTAGGGTAAGATTGCTGAGTTAAATTTTTAAAAATGTTAATATTCTGTAAGAAGTTGTGTTGTTAACCCAAATGTTATATCTACCTGGTGGTTCCAATTTACCAGCGACTCCTCAGATACTGGGGATGGTTGATAAACACAGTAAACATAACTAACACAACTGAATTGTACATGGAAAGATACTGAAAGGGCAAACAAATTGTTAATATGATTTACCACAAGGAAATTTTAAAAATAGTTAATGCTCAGTAGGTTATAAATCTTTGGGGCTATCTGCTCGACAAGAGGTGAAAAGAATTCTTTTTCACCTCTCATATGTAAGAGCTTTGTAAATTATTAAGTATTTCAGTGAGTCTGGAGCTTTTAAAAAATGTTTTTAATTTATTTATTTTCATGAAAGCTTACAGAGACTTTGGATTTCCATTCATTCTTTGTTGCACATTTTCCTCCCTGCCCACCCCTCCCCCCAGTTCACTTTTCTCTTTGAAAAGTAAAAAAATAAAATTTTTTCATTGTTATGAAATCCCTCCCCCCACCCCACCCCCCCGACACACACACACGCTAGTTTTCATTACGGACTCTTTTCATGACAATAATATCTAATCATGTATTCCTCCTAAACAGCTCTCTTCCTCATCTGTTTCAATGCAATATATATTATTTTCCCCTTTTAGTTTTCCCCCAACTCCGATATCAGTCTCACTTTATAATAGTGGCACTATGCAATATTTTTCCTTTTGTGACTGAGATATTTCACTCAGCATAATGTCTTCCAGGGTTACCCATTTCATGTAATATTTCATGAGTTCTTTGTTTTTCAATGCAGCATAGTATTCCACTATGTGAATATACTACAACTTCTCTACCCATTCATTTGTTGATTGGCACTTGGGCTATTTCCAACTCTTTGCTATTGTGAACACAGCTGCAATAAACATGGGTGTGCCATCTTCACACTTCCTGACACGCAAGAGCTCATTGCAGCAGTTACCATGTCAATCCACTTGGTTGAGGGTCTTCCTCTCCTTCACCAATCCTCCACTCTTCCCAACATCATGTCCTTCTCCAAGGAATAACCCCTCTTAACTTTGATGGTGTGGATCACAGAAATTGTGGCTAACATTGAGAAGAATAGGAATCCCAGAACACCTGATTGTTCTAATGCAAAACCTATACCTGGAGTAGGAGGCTGTTGTCTGAATAGAGTAAGCAAACACTGCATGGTTCAAAATCAGGAAGAGAGTGCACCAGGGATGCCTCCTGTCTCCATACCTTTACAGCCTGTATGCAGAACAGATCATTCAGGAGGCTGGACTTTATGAGGAGGAATGTGGTATCAGGATTGGAGGAAGACTCATCAACAACTTGCATTATGACACAACCTTGCTCACTGAAACTGAGTAGGAAGTGAAGCATGGATTAAAGCTCAGCATCAAGAAAGCAAAGAGTCTCACCACTGGACCAATCGGCAGCATCACGAGAGCTGAAGAAGAGGTTGAGACTGTAAACAATTTCTGCTTGCTCAGGTCCATAATCAACATTCTTGAAACCAGCAGCCAGAAAATCAAAAGACAAATCAGATTAGGAAAGGTCTGCCATCACGGACCTCTCCAGAGTGCTGAAGAGCAAAGATGTCAGTCTAGAGACTTAGGTGTCCCTGATCCAGGCCATGGTTTTTGCAATTACTTGCTATGCATTGGAGAGTTGGACAATAACCAAAGATGACAGAAGAATTGATGCCTTTGAGTTGTGGTGCTGGAGAAGAGTTTTGAACATACCATGGACTGCCAAGAGAAGAAACAGGTTCGTCCCAGAGAGGGTGAAAGCAAGTTGCTCTCTAGAGGCAAGGATTTTGAAGCTCTGTCTCACATAATTCTCCCTGGAAAAGGACATCATACTTGGAAGGATAGAGGGGCAGCACAAGAGAGGAAGACCCTAAATAAGATGGATTGAGACAGGAACTAAGGTAATGTAGGTGGTGTGTCAGGAACGGTGAGATTGGCTCAGGATAGGGCAGGGTTCAGAACTATTGTGCACAGTGTTGCTACAAGTTGCAAATAACTTACCAGCACTAAACAACAACAAAACACAGTGGCATAATGTGTAAGAGAGAGCTGGTGGCCTAGTGGTAAGAAGCTGCGCTGCAATCCCAAAGGCACACAGTTCAAATCCACCAGCTGCTCAGCGGGAAAAGAATGGGCAATCTCCTTGACTAACTGATTCTGAAAACCCATCAGAAGGTCAGAGGAAGATCCTCGATGAGATGGATCGATTCTGTGATCGGGGTGGTTGGAATAAGTGTGTCAGAGACAGTGAGGTTGGCACAGGATAGAGCAGGGTTTAGGGCTCTTGTATATAGGGTCATTATGAGTCCCAAGCAACTCAATGACACATAACAACAGCAATAACATTACTATACTATACTATACTATACTATACTATACTATACTATACTATACTATACTATACTATACTAAATTTATTACACTTTGACTTTCTATTTATCTGTTGATGGATATTTAAGTTGTTTCCACCTTTGGCTTCTGAACAACGCAGTAGGGAGCTCGGGTAGCATAGTTCATAGTGAATTGTGCTGTTAGCCCAAAGGCTGCACATCTCTGACGAATCCTCCAGCACCTCTGGACAAAAATGGGCTGTCTCCTCCCGTTATGAACTACAGCCCACAAGCCCAATGGCAGTCAGTCTTGAGATAAACTTTGGTGTGTAAGTATCTATTTTAGGCATTCCTTTCAGTTTCTTTGGATATATTCTTAGAGGTGGAAGTGTTGGATCAGCTGTTACTTTTAACATTTCAAGGCACTGTCACACTCTTTCCATAGCAGTTGCAGCATTTCTACATCCCCACCAGCAATGGATTTATTTAAAATTACATGGTTTAAAATTAAGAAAGATGTGTGTCAGGATTGTATCCATTATGCATACCTATTTAATCTGTATGCTGATAAAATTATTTGAGAAGCTGGATTCTGTGAAGAAGAATGGAATGAGGATCAGAGGAAGATTCATTAACATTCTGCATTATGCAGATAACACAACCTCGCTTGTTGAAAGTGAGGAAGATTTGGAGCTCTTGCTGCTGAAGATTAAAAAATATAGCCTTTAATATGGATTGCATTTCAACATCAAGAAAACAGAAATTCTCCCTACTGGACTGATAAGCAATACCATGATAAGTGCAGAAAAATTTGAAACAGTTAACAGCTTCATCTTTCTTGGATCTACAATCAACACATTTGGTACCAGCAGTCAGGAGATCAGGAGACATATTGCACTGGGCAAGTCTGCAGTCAGGGACCTCTATAAATTATTGAGTAGCAACGATGTCAGCTTGTGGACTAAGGAACCCCTGACTTAGGCCATGGTCTTTTCAATCACTTGCTATGCATCTGAGAGCTGGACAATGAATAAGGTTGACAGAAGGATTAATGCCTTTGAGTTGTGGTGTTGAAGAGTACTGAATAGCTCATGGACTGTTAAAGGAATGTGTCTTGGAAAAAGTGCAGCCAGAGTGTCTCTTGGAAGCAAAGGTGATACAACTTTGTCTCACATACTTTGAGCATGTGGAGGGTTGGTGAAAGAAAGGAAGACTATTAACCAGATGGATTGACACAGTTGACTGCTGCAATGGGCTCAAGCATGTCAGAGATGATGAAGATGGCACAGGATATGACAGGGTTCAGATTTATTGTTTACACAGTCAACATGGGTCATACTCAACGGCACCTAACAACTACAAACAGCAATAGATAAGAGTCTCTCCATATAGTTACTAATACTTAGTAGTTTCCATTTTATTAGATGTCTAGCCTCAGAAATATAAAGTGGTATCTCACTGTGGTTTTAACTTGTATTTCCTTAATGACCAATGAAATTGAGTGCCTCTGCATGTGCTTATAGAAAATTTGTAGAATTTTTTTGGAGAACTATCTAGTCAAATCCTTTAACCATTTTAAAATTAGTTTGTCTTTTTGTGTTAGTGATTTTTAGCAGTTCTTTACATATTCTGGATAGAAAATCCTTATCAGATATGTAATTTACAAATATTTTCTCCCATTCTTTCCTTTTTCTTGAAAATGGCCATTGGGACACAAATAAGATTGGTCTTTAAAAAAATAAATGAGATTGGAAGAAAAACAATACCCATCATAATAGCTAACTACAAGATTAAATACTTGGGAGTAAATCTAACTAGAAACACAAAGGATCTATTCAAAGAAAATTATAAAACATTACTACAAGAAACAAAAAGATACCTGGAGAAATGGAAGAATAGACCTTGCT